TATATTTATATTCTGCAATTTTTACTGATGTTCGTACTTCATAATTTATATTTACATTTGTATTCTATTAATATATTAGCATTTATATTCTAACATACTAACATTCATGTTTTATAATTCATTTATTTTTACTTATTTTATAATTTATTACTTAGGCACGTCATATTTCGTAAGATATTATTTTCAATTTCACTGAATTATTCACGTGCGTAATAATTTTTTCAGAATATCGCCAAAGGTTTGCAGCCGAACATCAAATCACAGACAAAACCACGAAAGGGCAAGAAATCAACAGCGATACCGATGTCAGAGAGCAGCGCCGGCTTAATCACCAAGAACAATAGTTTCCTCAGTCAAACATTACCTCCGTAAACAGCCAATGTACGAATTTCTTGTTCCTTATCCATTGGTGGATTAATTATTCTAAGTGTTTCGATGGTAATCTCGACACGCAGAGGAGTTCCAGTTATTCTCGCGATCGATCGTGAAACGAAACAGAAACTCAGACGCGGATTTTCATGCATTTGTCGAGGAAAATATGAGATTCGCATTGCGAAAATGTTGCACCCGATGCACGCATAATGTAGAAAGATATGTATTATACAAAAATAGAAGTATATTGCAATAACGTATTTAAACAGGAGGAAATTCTTTCCTTCAGCTTCTATCTCTATCGCGGGAATTTCAAAATGCATAAAATCTGCACCCTAATGACGATGCATGTTAACGAGAATAATTTGAGCGACTGTTGCGATCAAATTACTGACCTTGTTCCTTCTACGTTATTATATTAAACGACACTTGAAACTGGTACCGCGTTAAGCGACGGGGTTCGTTTAGAAAGATGACAAAGGAACGGAGGGGATGTTAAACGCGAAATTTAGATTTAGGGTAAGCAGTCGCTAGTTCTTGAATAGCTAGTTCTTGAATAGCCGAAGATAAGTCGGAGAGGCCTATATTTTTCTACTGCAGCCTTCAATTGCGATTATTATTTATCGAAACACGAGGGACATAGTTTAGTTAATAGCGAGGGAAAAAAACGAAGCTTAACCCTTTCCCCAGCTTTTTAACACAAATTCACATTAAATAGAACGTGCATTTACTTCGCAGCGATCATAAGCGAAGGGATCAATTAAAATATTTTTCTGAAGGAGGAGCTGCATTTACATTTAGCAGACTTCGTTTTCGATTCTTCGAGCATCGACTTGGAAAATGAATTTTTCTTCACCATCTGACGTTTCAACAACGACAAAAGCATAGTGATTAATGTAAAGTTATGTTCCAATGACGGTGGAAGATTGCCGATAATTTAAACTGGCATAACTCTGAGCAAGGAAATGGTCCATTTGGTCTCATTTCAAAGCATGAAGTCTATACTTTGACACAGTCGTAACTCGTTCTCTTCTTTCAAAGATGATTTTAAAATCATGTGGTGAAATCATTGAAAAATTCTTTCCATGACTAAATACACTATTGCCACGAGGATTGAAATTTTCTCTCTAACAACAACCACAACGCTTAAAATTTAATTGTTTCCCCTGCCATTTTATTGAACCTTTGATAAGCGACAAAAATTCAAATAATCTTAACATTTCCAATTTTCAAAGTTTGAATGAAAGACTGGAAAAAAATTGTCCACTCTAGTCGGGTT